CAAAAAACTGCCACTCTCAACCCTCTAAAACTCGAGTTTTCCCGGTCTCAAAGTTAAAATTTTCCGCAAAAAACGCGTTTCTTGCGTTTTTTTAATGAGCGTTACTGGCTCACAATTGCGGTTCCCTTTTGAGCGTTTAAACACGTTTTTCCAAATGTTTGTCTGCTTGGGTAGTCATAACGCTTTCAACTTATAGTCGAAAATCTTAAATGATTACAGTTACTTTTTATTCAAAGTAAAAGATAATTCATAATTTTTTAAATAACATTGCTAAAGATAAAACTGGGACTCTCGTTGTTGCATGGATAAGATCAGGGAGACACGGTTCTCTACAATAAAATGTTTAAAATATTACTCAAAATGGCCTCTTATTGAACATAGAAAACTGTATGCCTATCTCTTTTTGCTAAAAAATTATTCAAAATATTTGAGTACATTCTGTTTTGAATGCGATCATACTTTTGTTGTTTACGAATGTTCATCATCTATAGTTCGTCCATCTGACTTTTTGCACTATTAACTCGTGTAGAAAATACAGCAAAAAAGTTCTTGTTCGATATTTATATATATATATATATATATATAGCCTGATCAGGATATATGTCAGACCTGAGAAAATCCCGAAGCCCTGCTATACATATAGATAATCTTTCTGAAAAACGACAAGAAAACTACTACATCTTCTGAAAATTTCGCCACTTTCATGATCACAATTGTATATATCGCGCTTAAAATAGGGTTAAATAACAAACCTTTAGACGATTTGTCAGCGAAAAATGCAGATTTTAGCTCTTTTTTTGTTCAAGGCTAGTCAAAAACCATGGATTGTCTTTTATGTTGTAATGGGAAGTATGGGAAGTTCAGTTCTTTCAGAAGTTATAACATTAACACTGAGTCCGTGTATTGTACGAACAATTCTGAGCATGGTTGTAACTTTTGATTGGTACTTAAACTATTTTTAACTCTTAAAATTAGAAAAATACTTGTATACTCTATTGTCAATAGTCAAATGATTTGGATTCCGTACCTTAGATGAGCTCGTAAATGCGAAGTTTTCAGATATTCTTTTCCACAATCAGAATAATGACAACGATGTGTTCGTTTGAGACTATTGGTTATTGCACTTGGGTTATTTACATTACTTTTAAAACTAGAGTAGAAATACAAAATGAATGAAGAAAAAAACTACACATGACTGAATGATTATACTTACAATATACAATTTGGACATTCACATGATTTTCTCGAGCGTTTGATGACCCTTTTATTGGTATCATTAGGTGTTGTTGATTCGCGTTGATCGTTGGTGATATTAATACCAAGAGTAAGCCATTTTTTAGCTGCGTCAAGAAGAAGTGCTAAAACAAAGATAATCGATGAAGACGAATATTCTCATCTCCTTAATACCTACTATTATTATTTTCTGTATTGATTACGGATTTATTCGTATCACATTCAATTTTTGAGCTATTATAATTCGTACTCTCACATTCCATAGTTGTTGAAGGGGGAAGTGATGTAGTAGTAACTGTCTGTTGTTGTTGTTGTTGTTGTTGTGAAGGATTTATTTGTGTGCCACCACCTCCCTCAAGTAATGCTTGTAAAAGTTGCGTAGCTAATTGGTTAACAGGAAATTGTAATTGAGCTGCTGTTGTCATTTGTTGAAAATCTTGCGTTTCATGATTAAGTAAATTTGTAGCAGCAATAATTGGTTGAGTAGTTACATTTGTACCATTCAATAAAATCACGTTCATATTACGTGATTGTGATTGTTGTTGTTGTTGTTGTTGTTGTTGTTGCTGTCCAGATGCATTATTAGTGAATGAAAAGGAGAGTGATCCATTTGTTGAAGGTTGACAATGAAGCTGAAGTGTGGGAGATTGTGTAGGAATATTCAATTGAATGGTTTGATTATCAATATTTGTCGATGTTGTGTTAAGTTGAGTGAATGGATTCGATGTTAGATTAATTGATGCCGGATTTGAAATTATTCGAGTATTTATCGGAATTTGAATTGAAGCTGATGTACTAGAATTTATTGTTCCTGCTGTAGGTATAAATCGAGCTGGAAGAGCAATAGTTCGTGGAACATTTAGCGAACTATTTGTTGAATTAACAGAGGCAGCTGCAGCCGCTACAGCTTGTTGTAACCCTATAAGCTGAGTTAGTTGAGTAGCATTTGGGGTAGGAATAAATAAAGCTTGTTGACCATTGATATTGATTGTATGAACTTGCGGTAATTGACTGAACAATTGATTAAGTAATGGACCTTGACTAGAATAATTTGATTGAAGAACACCATTTGTAGCAGAAGATGCAGCAGCTGTCATTAACAAAGCATTCCCGATTCCATGTTGCATATTCATTAAATGCATTTAGATGTTGTATCACATTAAAATATAATTCCAGTCAGACAACACCCTTCCAAAATGCAAAACGAATAGCCCTGTACAACACAGAACACCGTTTCGTCAATCTAAAACGTAGAAGAAAATAAACACAATCAGACACAATAATTTTGCATCTGGTACGAATTAATTTCTTTTAAAACAGATAGATTGTCAAGGGCACGCTTACAAACTAAGCAATTTTCTCATTCAACTTCTCAATTCGAATTTCAAGCAAACTTAAAAGAAAACACAGCAAGTAACAAGTGTTAAAAAAACTTCTAAAAAACTTTAAAGATTTTCTCTATATCACGAAGATAAACAGTGATAATTAAAATTTAGTATCGTGATCACATTCAGTAAATTTTTTTTATATACATATATAGTTGTGATGTCGTCAGACATCAATAAATTGCTTCGCCTCTATTTATTGTCATCATTGTGAATGGATACAACAGAAAAGCCAATAAGATGTAAGAACAATAGAATTTATTTAATGGTAAATAAAAATACTGTAGGTATAATACAAGGCAATGCTCGTCTGCACTTGCTCGGTCCCTTGACTTTAGGCACTTATATTTGCGAACGACCTTCCATGACTTTGAATCCAACACAACGCTCACGCCTTCCTTCGGTCGATGTTCACCAGCAGACTATCTAAAATATGTTATGAATTTTTCTCTGATTTGATGTGTAAGCTTAGTATAGTCTAATACCAATCTAAAAAGCTTTTTCCAGATCTTCCAAAGATCCCCAGAGGTCTAAAAATATTTCTAAATTAAAGACAATGCTTACGCCTCCCTACGGTCGGCGTTCGCGACCCATTTAGTCGTCTTGTACATTTTTGCGATGTAGACTAAATAGTGAATAATGCTTATGCTCTCTCTTATGATTGGCTTGTCCATGGAATATCTAACAGCCATTTTTCCGTATTTTTCACATATAGACAACCATCTTGTAAGACTAAAAGTCAAGAGAAATAAGGGGAAAATATTTTTTTTCACGACAACGTGGCATCATTCTCTCGTTTTCTAAGTATGGAATCTTATCACAAAAAGTTCTAAGGAGTAATTAAGTCAGAAAACTTAATTTGAACTAATTTAATATGAGACTTTTTTAAATTAGTTCGAATTAATTCCCAAAAGTTTCAATGGGTAAATGAATCTGTAGAATGGACCAGTTGTATTGCAAACAATGTTACAAGAACTTGAAATTCAAATTGATGTGCTTGCGTTTTCTCTTTTCGAATTAGAATGGCCGATTCAGGATCAACGCCAATAACAACTGATAATAATTCTCTTTCACTTCAACCGTCAACAGATTTGCTCGCCGGTGCACGTAAACGCTTTGAAGTTAAAAAATGGAATGCTGTTACATTATGGGCTTGGGATATTGTCGTCGATAATTGTGCTATTTGTCGTAATCATATTATGGATTTGTGTATTGAATGTCAAGCAAATCAAGCAGCAGCAACAAGTGAAGAATGTACAGTAGCATGGGGTGTTTGTAATCATGCATTCCATTTTCACTGTATATCTCGTTGGTTAAAAACACGTCAAGTTTGTCCATTGGATAATAGAGAATGGGAATTTCAAAAATATGGAAGATAGAGAAAAACAGGCTCGAAGGTCAAAAAACTATTCTTGGTTAATTTTACTTGTTTGTCTTTGTATATGTGTATTGTTACAATGATCATTAGCTGATGCTCATTTTTTTTATGGGCTTAAACATGAAAATACTTGATTGTTGTCATTTTTCTTTTTTATTTTATGTGTATTCATTGAACTATGTTAATTGACAAAAAAGATGATTTAGGTTTTATCAAAACGTTTGGATTATTTTACTTAGAAATTTGAGACAAAAAGTGTTTTCATTTAGCAGTATCTTGATAATGAATAGACACTTATTTGAATATGAAAAAGTAGTTAAACGAGAATTTATTCATACTAGTCGATTTCTGCTCTCAATCAGGAAGAGGTTAGTAAGACTTGCTGCTAGTTGTATTGTAGATTTTTTTTTCTTGTGAAGCACAGGCGATGTGCTTGATGTCACTGGCAAAAACCTGTTAGAAATGAGGTTTTGATGCTGATGAATTTTCAGCAATAAGGCATGACGTTGTTATTCGGCAACGCTTGAATAATGCTTTTGTTTCAGACATGAGTGTTATTATTCGATTAAATCGTTCATCATTATGTGCTCATCATACAAGCTTGAAAACGGCTCATCGTACAATATTAAACAATCGAGATTGGCGTCCCGGTCATTTCATACCAAAAACGGATGAAGAAATAGCTGCTGTTGCTAAAAAGTATAATATGATACCAGAAGATTATAAACCATTGGATCCAAAACATTCTGGTGGTGATATGCCGGACATTACACCAGTTCAATATGTAGATCGTAGTCCATGGGAAGATTGGGGTAACTTCTGTTTTTTGTACTCTACTTTTGCGTAGATCAAAATCAACTCACTCTATTTGAATATTTTAGATTATCCAAATACTCGTCAACACTATAACGAGCCCAAACATCGTTATGAAGGTGTCAGATGGGATCGTTATCGGATTTATTATGATCCAAACAAATTACCTTATAAACCATGGCAAAAACCGTTTTTACTGATGGTATTACCAGCGACTTTCTATATTATTCATTGCCTTTTTGGTGATATTAAATGGCCATACTATCCATCGTTTGATCCACAAAGAGTTGAAGAAAACGCCGTACATTATACATTTGAAAAACCAACTGCGGAAAGTAGAGAAATTCTTCGTTAACACGAACGATTTTGGGATTTTTGTACACGTTTTTTTTATCTATACGAATTGTAATTTTTTTTCTCCCGAAGTAGAATAAAATATGACCTATTTGTGTACATTCCGTTTTCTTTTCTTTGATAAGGCAACCATGACGCATCATTTTGGGTTTTTACGAATTTAGAAGGTTCAGTTTAGTGCCTGACTTTGTATGCTGTCTTCTTACGAGCGATGTCGCCGGTTTCAGTCCTATAAAAATTCGTCCATTCAATTTGGTGCAAACAGTTTATTATATTCTGCGAAGATAAGAAATTAAGAGGAAACATTGTCAAGCTTTCAATCCTATGACTCCTTAAACGGAAAGTAGTTTCTGAATCAAAAAATTACTCTGTGATTTTTTGTGATATAATAGCGAGCTCTATAAGGACTTACGAGGGAACCTTTCGAGGCGATTAAACGCTTTTTGCTCGGAATCTAGTGGGTTATAGGTTATCGACCATGCTGATTACGAATATGACCATGGAGGTTGTCCTTAGCTCTTCGAAGACGTGGTTTTCAAGAAAAGCAATTTTTCAGAAATTCTAAAATATAACCCGAACGTTTCTTGATGAGGCATGATTGTAGCCCGCAAATTTCTGATTAAAATGAGACATTTCCCAGCTGTACACGATCTTTCTTTGCAAAGTTATAGAATTCCTAAATTAATTTCTTATTTCTGTAGCTTTGAGCTGACAATGAACATCTAAGGCTTTTTTGTAAATTCTATAACTTTACAAAGAAAAGAGCTAAGGGATGTCTCATTTTAGTGAGAAATTTGCGGGCTACATTCATATCTCATTAAGAAAAGTTTTGGTTATATTTCAGAGTTTCTGAAAAACTGGTTTTCCAGAAAACGGATCTCTGAAGGCCCAGCAGCAAACGGCATGGTGATATTCGGAATCATCACCGTCGATCACCTATAATGCACTAGGTTTCAGCTGAAAAGCGATTTCACACTTGGGGAGTTACCTCGTCAGTCTGAAACTAAATTTTCATAAAACCTCTTTGTACGTCAGTCAAATCGGTCGGAATGAAATTGAATATTCATTAAAAATGTGCGGTAACCGGTAAGTTCATTTGCCGGTATCGTGATCATCTGGTTTTCTGGTAAATTCGTCTTACCGTTACCACGTATTTTTAGTACACACCGGAAGAAAGAGAACATTCGAACCATCGGAATATGTTTTTAATCTCAGCTCGGATGCTTTCTGCTACTTTGCAACTTGCTCAAAACAATAGCTTTTTTAAAAACTACTTTCCGTTTAAGAAGTCATGGAGTTGAAAGCTTGACAATATTTCCTCTATAATTTTTTATCTTCGTGGAATATAATAAACTGTTCGTGCACAATTGAATGGACGATTTTTTATAGAACTGAAATCGGTGGCATGTGATATAAGAGATGTGCGAAAAACGGCAAAGGTAAAATGTACCATTCTTTCTGACCAAACCATTACGTCTATTAATTATGTTTCGTACATGTAGCTCAACGTAGTCTGTAATCTTGTGTATGAACACATAGTAATCGTTCATGCTACTTATAGCTGTAATCATCTTTGACAAAAACAGAAAATTTAATTATTTCCTTGTCTATTATGTGTGTACGTGGAGAAAAGAAAGAGAGTGACGTTAGTGACATTAAATATCTCCACTATAATTGTACAACTAGTTTAAATATTGGTGATTTTTTTCTATAAACGTAGGATGTTTCTGATAGATGTTTTATTTTATGTTTTCAGAAAGAAAGGAGAAAAAGAAAACCGCATATACACACGCACACACACACACATAGTCTACATAATATTCGAAATTCCATTCCATTCTTTGTTTTTACTGCCTTTTCTAAAAACATAGACACTATTATATCGTCATTATTTTTCTACTTTTCTCCTTTTTATTTTCTATTTCAGCTAATTTTTTCTCAATATGTTGAAGAAAAGCGATTCAGTTTTTTTTTGCTTCAAATATACGACATGACTAGTAGTCTATAGTATGTAGATGATGTTCCTATCGATGAATGGATGATCATTATTATTTTCTTCCCTTTATATTAACATCATCATGGAAAACGTTCTCGCTTGTTTTTCTGCTTTTCGTTTAGTTCTTTTTCAGTAAGAATAATCTTTTATTTAAAATTTGCTAGAGTCGAGATATATAGCACATTTATGAAACTCATTTCTTTTTTCTACAGATTAAATACTTATCGAGAGACTATATAAGATAGATAAGGTAGGAAAGAATGAAAAATGGTGTGATCATTCCATTTTCATTGATTGTGACAGCTTATTCTTTTTATGACCGCTTTATCTATACAGTTCACAGAATAATGAGGTTCTGTAAAACTATTTTGAGAAAACTTTCACAGAGATTATATCTATTTAAATCGCATCAATTTTCTTATTTCTCTTGTCTTGTATATAACTCTAACAGATACCGTGAAACTTCGGTGACATTGTTATTATTATTATTTCTGTTTATTTTTCTTTCACTCTTGCTTTTTATACGCTTCATCAAATTTCAAGTGTTAATGAATGAGTTTTGTACCTAATGAGTATTTTTTGGTAAGAAAAATTGATTGGTACGAAAATCAGTCACTTGTTGAAATTGGTTAAAAGTTTTTCCAATACAAAAATTTCTGTAAAAATTGACTCTTTTTCAAAGGAAAAAACAATTCTGGTAAAATCGTTTTCTGATGTTGATACTGAATATTACATTTAGTATGTTTGAAATAAAGAAGATAAGCTCCCGCTTTATGAAATACATTTTTTAAACAACAGTCTTGGATACTTCTATCGGTTGTTACTCAGCACAAATTTCCTTTTCAATACAACTGATCACAACTGTTTGAATTCTTCTTACATTTACTGTTCGACAATATTCACATTTCCAATAAGTTTTAACATCGGTAGTTCTGTCGATTGTATAAGCATAATCTTTGCACAAAAAAATAACGGCTTATTTCTTGAGGTTGTACTAATTGTAATCGTGAAGATCATTGAAAAAATAATTGACTGATGCTTTATCCTTATATTTTTATATGCTTATTACAGATTCACTCACGCACTAAACTCTAGGTATAAATATTTATATCTTTGTATATATATCGGCACAATCTGGTCATTTACTTAATAGTCATAATGTTTTATTTGATGAGATCTAAATCTTGTTCTTTTCTATGTGTTCTACTCTAAAACACAGTCAGCTTCTTTGATAAGACAATAAAACGGTATTCATCAGAGTGTTTATCGTGAGTTTTATTAAATTCATCAAAGTAGTATTTGAATATTCCAGTATTGTCCCAGTTTTATTAAACGATTCCTTTTCATAACCACCATTTTTTGCAACGATCAATTTTTGATATACCAGGAAAAAACTACGTTAACATATATTTGTATGTGAAATAAGTCGACAACGCTACTGTTGGTCAGTATGTTTATTAGTTTACTATCAGAAAACATTAAAAGATTTAAAAATTGTGTTTCATACAGGGCTGCTAACTCTTCCGATTTATCGGAATTTTTCCAGTTGAATTTTGATTTTCCGATTTCTTGAGTTTTTTTTACTTTTTTCTGAAAAGTACATATTCGTAAAGGAATTCAATTTTTTTTCTTCTCTCGCGTGTGTCACACATATTTGATTGATATTAATTATAAACAATTTTAGAATTTAATTCTATCTAAGCCAGATCTATTAAAAGCAAGTACTTAGTCAAAAACAAAAAAAAATACGCACATATAATAAAAAATCCACGTCTTCGTAATACATAGTATGTTTTTATTTTGATTTGTATAACAGTTCACTGTTTTTAAGTGTTTTTCATGAATGAACGGTTAAAAGAAAAATCACAAAAGAAACAATCAATCCTTAAAATATTAGCACTTTTTAAATGTTGTTGAATGTGTTTTTCCTGTTGAAAAAACGAACACGTATTACTGTAGCAGAAAAAGCCTGGTATCTTTATCTTGTTAAGGTTTTCTGGAAAAATCATTCTTCCGGAATTTTTTTTTCCGAGTTTAACGGATTTTTTTCTGGACTGTGGATTTTATAGTTGGAAACCATGAAACCAGCTTCATCAGTATATTTATTTTGAGAACGATCAATAGAGCTGAAATTTTTTTGAAAAATTTTGAAAAATATAAGTTGTGAATGTACATGTTCGTCAAGGTATGAATAAATTTAACTACTAGTGCAGTGGAGCATTAGTTAACGTTTGAATTATTAGTTTGACCGATATTGAAAAAGTACAATTGACATTTCATTACTCAAGTTCTTTTTATAAGAAAAAGAAAAAGCAAGATCCTTTCACGTTTTCTTTTCCAACTAAAAGTTTAAGCATTAAAAGTTTTTACGACATTTTTACATGTCTTAAGTGTTTTTAACGAAATTTATATAAATTACAAATTAATTTTATTCATTTCAGGATTAAAGCGAATATCTTTTTATTCTAAACATATTCTAATTCATTCAATTGTATTTTGTATTTTAGATAGTCTACTGTTATTTTCTTTTGTTGATTCAGTTGTTACGATGTTACTGTCATAGTCAGTCATATAAATGTGTGAACAAACAAAAAAATATTTTTCTCCTCGTCTTATTGACTATGTTATTATCGTTGGTTGTCGGCATCCAAATCGTTTTAATCACGTAACACAAACACCTGAATTATTAAGACGTTATCCATTAAATGATCATAAAGATTTTTCATTACCACCCGATGTGATCTTTTTCTGTCAGCCTGAAGGTTGTATAAACACCGGACATCAACGAACAGGCCTTCGTAATATAACATCATTTGTATTTACATTGACGGAAAAAGATGCGAATCGACAACGATTTGGTATTTGTGTTAATTTTTATCGACATTTTCCAAGACGAACAAATCAGTCAACAACAGCAAGTTCGACTCATCAACAAACATCAACGGTTAAAACATCATTACCACATCGTTTATCAAGAATAGATTCTGTTGGACAATATTCATCCGATGATGGTACACAACAATCCGTACTAACACAAATACAACAAGAAAATAGTCTTCTAACAGATACGAACGGTAATAATTTGACTCTAGTCGAACGTAAACGAAAACGACAACGTTTGAGGAATAATACGTTAACATCGTTATGTCTAATCAGCCATCATCCATTTTTTACACGATTTCGAGAATGTTTAATTAAATTAAAAAGTATCATCGATGCATGTAATGAACGTTCGTGTGCTCGAAGAACAGGAGCATCACGATGTACATCAAGGTAATTGGGTACAATCTTTGATAAACATAGTTTGAAGTTCAGTATAACATTGACATTTTATTTTTCATTTCAGAGAAACAGTCTGGGGCGTATTAACGGGTCAATCGTGTGAGTGTACATCGAATTTAGTAGCACATGAAATTCGAGAAATTGAAACATGGATACTACGTTTGTTAAGTGCACCAGTTTCTATTCCTGGTAAAACAAAGATACTAGTAAGCAGAATTTAAGTTAAAATTTAAAAAACGATAGAAAAAATTTTATTTTAATTTTTTTAGATTGAAGTTCTTCCAAATGAATCCCCGATGCTATTTGCTTTACCTGATCATACTCGTTTTTCACTTGTCGATTTTCCGTTACATTTACCATTGGAGTTATTAGGTGTTGAGTTATGTATCCGTGTTTTAACATTGATTATGCTAGAAAATAAAGTAAATGATTTAGTCACCATTCTTTTCTGAATAAAGAAAAATTCTTCATGTGATGGTTTGTTTTTTGTTTTATGAAGGTTGTATTTCAATCTCGTGATTACAATGCCTTAACAATGAGCGTATTGGCGTTTGTCGCTTTACTTTATCCACTAGAATATATGTTTCCAGTCATTCCACTTTTGCCAACTTGTATGACCGGTGCTGAACAGGTAACCTATTAAATAAACATTCTGCTGTTTTTCTCTAAAACTAAAAAATATTCATTATATTTTTAGTTATTACTTATTCCAACCCCATTCCTAATTGGTGTACCTGCAAGTTTTTTTCCTTACAAAGGACTCACGAAGAAGTTTGACGATATTTGGATTGTTGATTTAGACTCAAATCAGGTTAGAAATTTTGTTTTTTTTCTTTTCAAAGTAACAACAACAATTTTGAAATAAATGATTATATATAGATCATTCCACCGCGCATTGCTGAACCATTTTTTGATATTCCAGAATTAGAATACAATATTTTAAATAATCATCTCAAACAGGTTGGCTGACAAACTTTTTCTACTTTTCATGTTGTTTGACATTTATGATATTTGTTTTATTAAGGCTTTAGCCAGTATGAGTATGGATCCAGAGCCTATACAAAATTTTGAATCGTTAATGTTAGATAAATCGTATTCAAATCCTCATCAATTACAGTTAAATAGCCATGACACACTAAATACAACCACGTACAATCCATTTATTTATGGAAATGATGTTGATTCTGTTGATGTCGCCACTCGTGTAGCAATGGTTAGATTTTTTAATTCACCAAATATATTAGGCAATTTTCATGAACATACACGAACATTACGTTTACATCCAAGAGCCGTGGTTGCATTTCAATATAGTAGTTTTGTACGATCAAGACCGATTAAATCAGCATTTATTATACGTTTAGCTAAAACACAGGTATTGATTACATAAAGAAGAGAACCTTTGTATATATTAGTGAATTTGGTGTTTTTTAGGCAGTGGAATTTTTTGCTGAATGGTCGTTGTGTCCAGATAATGTCGCTTTTCTTCGTGTGCAAACAGGTAATCGGATTTATTTTTTTGCTGCTTCTGAATTTTAAATTTTTTTCTTTTGAAGGTGTATTTGATCCAGCATTGATTGGTGACAAACCAAAATGGTATAGTCGCAATTTGACATTAATACCATTTAATGTTATCGAGGAAAATGGTACATTGGGACAAGCTATTCATACCTTGAATGCAAAACAAAACAATATAGAACATACGCCTACAGGTAGAAACTAAAATAGTCTCTTTATGAATGAATATTGTTATTAATTATTTTTTATTGTTATGAAGTATTCATCTATTTTTAGATGAAAGTGGAAGTGATTCGGAAGATGGTAGTGCGGGTTCCTGTTATTCATCGTTGAGTGATTTTGTATCAGAAATGAGAAACAGTGAAATATGTGGTGAAATACGCGGTGAGTAACAGTGAAGCTACCAAAAGAATGACACATTTTTCTATTGTATTGTTTTTACAGTAGTTAAAATTTATCCAGAAAATCAAGAGCAAACATCGTGTGTTGAATACTCAAGTGTCTATAGTCCACCGCAAGAACTACAGATTCCAGGTGATGGACAAACCTCTGCAACATCTACACATAATAACAAGTCAAATTCGAATGCAGGCAGTGGCACTGATTCAAGTTTATCGATGAGTGAATCAACAATAAGTTCAAGTTCAAATTCTGTTGTTAATTCTGGTTTAAATACACCCGATGACGAGCTACAAGGTATACAACGAGAAATAAATGAAAATACTGATTCAAAATCAAGTTCAGCAACCATTACACCTGTAACAAAAAGTTTTCCGAAGTAAGTGGAATTATAGCCAATAAATCATAAAATGATTAATTGTTCTTCATTTTGCTGTATAGACCATTATTTGAAACAAAATCGCTTGGTGGTAGTTCATCGCCTCCAACACCTGAGTTAAAAACGCGTCTGTCACAAGTTCAACCAAACTCTAATGTTAATATTGGTTATCGAACAAATTCTATGATAAGAACAAACAGTCATGATTCAACAAATAGTCCAACTACAATGAAATCTGGAAGAACAAATAAGGTGAACTAATTTGTGCTTTAAATTTTGTTTTGACAAATGCAGAAAGAAACACTGGAAAAGAATGGATACTAATTTTAATTACAAATCCACGCTTGCCTTTTAAGAGTACTGGAAAAAACATTTTGGTTCTTGACAAGAGTAGCTTTTAGACTATATATCATATTAGCTTAATTGTTATGTATTTTTATTCTATTTATATTTTTTTAGCCTGAAGCGACAGATGGCTCAGATACACCGTCTCAATCAATCATTCAGCATTTTGGTGATGAACTGAATTCTACAGCTGCTGCACGTGCTGTTTCAAATATGGCTAAAATAGCCTCAGACAAAGTGACAAAATTATTAGGTAACTATTGAAACGGTGAGATAACCCAGTCGCGTTGATTAGGAATAGCACAATCACCTAGTTATCGTTTTGGGGTTCTCAGGGAACGTTTCAAAACGTATTCCGGTCGGTCGGTCGCTATTCCTCTATTCCGCTGTTCCCCTATTCCTCAATTCCACTATTCCTCTATTCCCCAATTATTTCTCTATTATAGAATTTAAATTCTAATTTATTTTATTTTATTTTGTATAGTTCGGTTTCTTTGACTGTATTGTTGATACATATATCGGCATATATATACTTCCAATGTGTTCGTTTTTTTAACAGACATCTTTATAAGAGCAGACATTTTTCTGTTTAAAGAATAAAATCAGAAAGTAACAAATTTTATATT